GACGAGCTCGTGCAGCCGTGCGACCAGCTGCTCCTCATATTCGCCTGTGACAGTGCCTGCCTTCTTGAACTCTTCATACATCTGTCGAACGTCATCCATGCCGAGAGGGGGCTCAGCTCCGCGCTTGATAACATCAGCTTTGTCATCAAGCTCGTGATCATCATCAGTGCCACCAGCAGGCTGAGCCAGAGACGGCTGCTGCGGCACCATGCTGACCTTGACGTGCTTGGCCAGCATCTGCTGGAGCGAGCTGAACCTTGGGTCAGCGGTGAACTGCAGGTAGAAGAGCTTGAGGTCAGGCTGGCCTTCAAGCTCGGGCATATCCACTTGCAAGAAATCGGGCGAGAGCACGGGGGCGGACGCGGGGTTGGTCGCCGCTGTGACGGGCTCGCCACGCTGCTTCGACAACGCCTCGGCACAGGTGCGCACCTCCATGGTGAGCTGGACAATCTCAGCCTCCTTCTGGACGATGGCGGCCTCTTTAGTGTCCAACTCCTCTTGTCACATAGCGATCTTCTCACGTCGGTCAGCAGCCTCGGTACGGTAGCGATCAAGCTGGGTACGGTAGCGCTCAAGCTTCTGCGTTGCAACCTTGTGCGCCGTAGACGGCGGACGTAGCTCACGTAGCTGTACTCGAAGCGCTTCCAGCTGCTTCTTGGCCGTCTGTAGCTGCTCACCTTCACTGTCTTCGTAGAGGGCGAGGGACTTGACGAACTGCTCGTAGTGACCGATCTTGTTCTGAATAGCACTCCGTTGCATCGCCGTCGCCGTCGTGTCCTTGGCCCCTGCCGAGCCTTCATCAACCTCCATGGCCGCGTCGGACACGCCAATGGGGGCTGCCTGAGGTGGGGCAGGGTCCTTGTTGTTCTCCGACTTGAGCTGCTGGACCTGCTTGCGCAGCGCCACCAACTCCTTCTCCAGCTTCGACGAGGCCCATGGCGCCAGCTGTGACGAATCAAGCCTGCCTCCGCCGTTGCCACCGCCGCGCGAAGGAGGCTGCCCCTTCGAGATGTCGGCGGCTTTGAGTTTCTTCTCCTCCTGTCTAGCCTTCGTGATGACCCGTTGCGGCGCGCGCGCGCACCACGTCGGCACTGCAGGCGACAGGCCCAGTTGTTGGCCGTGCCGCAGCGGGAGCACCCCCAATGCGGCCGCTTGGGCCCGAACAGCAGCGTTCCTGCGCCGTCGCCCGCCATCGTGACCCTGGACCCCGTCTCCAGACTCTGGTGGCAGAACTCGCGCAGCCGCACGCCGCGGCAGGGGCAGTCTCGGCACTCCAGGGGGGTGCGCTTCCCTGGAGCTGAAAACTGTCGGTTGCTGTCCTCGGATCAGAGGTCTCCACTCTGACCCCGAGGGAATCGGACATCTTGAGCCAAAATGGCTACGGAGGAGGAGGAGGAGGAGGAGGAGGAAGAGGAGGAAGAGGAGGAGAAGGCGAAGGATGAGGATGATGAGGAGGAGTGAGGAAGTGGAGGATGAGGAAATAGAGACCCCCACTGGCATTCTTGGATTTCTTGTTCGTTGGGGGGTGTTTTCTTGGTTTCCCGTTGTCTTGTCTTGGGTTTCTTGGTTTCCTGGCCTGCCCGCGGTCGCCCCGAGGACCCTAGGCCTGCCAATGCGGGCCGCGGGCAGACTACAAAACCAAGAAACCCAAGAACACCAAGAATCACACTGACAAAGACAAGAGAACACTCCCATCGACCATGAAAACCAATAAACCCACTGGTTTTTTCCCTCCTCCCCCCCTTCCTCCTCACTTATCCACGGAGATGGTCTTAGCGCGCGCTATGTACGCTGTCACCGCAACATCGAATTAGAACGTTCTGGTGGCAATGCTCTTTAAGATTTCGGCCTGTCTGGGTGATTCCCCTTGACTGACGTGCCTGTCATCCGCCTCATTGCTAGAAATAGGCGATCAAATACCTCAATCCGAACTACCTGCCCGATTCGGCAAATGTCTACGCGCCGGCACGGTAACGTCTACTGCGCTGGCACCAACGTCGGCACGGTAACGTCTACGCGCCTTCCCGGCCAAGCCCAGAGGGCATGGAGGCCGGTCGCCACGGTGCCGCATACACGGAATGTCCTCGTGCCCCTTCGAGCTCTCTGCTCTCTCTGCTAAAAAATTGTAGTTCATGCTCTCGAGAAGGCCCAAGACCCGAACTCTTGAAATTCTCGGGCCCTTCCAAGTGTTCCCCGGGGCGCCTCGCGTGAATTGCTCAGACATGATACGATGATTTAGCAATCTTGTCATCCATGGGGGGCGAACAGCCTCAGGAATTTTCTTATGCCGAGACGGCCCACGATATCGCCAAGCGGCCCCCAAAATCCCCCCGGAGGCGCCCAAGAGTCCCACAGAGGCCCCCAGGCCGCCACAAGACGCCTCCTTCCAAAAGGCCCCCGAGAATTTCCCCAAGACGCTCCAATATACCTCTATGGTCGACACCCCAGGCTCAGCGGCGGGATGGGCCGGATGTCACTAGAGAACATGATTGCCCAAACAACGGACACGCACATCGTATGTGGGACAGATTCGCATCAACGCTGTCCGAAACAAAACAGTGCGAAACCAATCGATCAGTACGATTGAAAATGTAAGTCGAGCAGTTCCCTGGAGGTGCTGGCTTGGCGAAAAGCATGGTGTGATGCTTCAATGTGGGGAGCTGCGGCGGTTCCGCATTTTTTCTGTCGTCAGGGTAAGAGTGGTGCATGAACAGGCGTACTCCCTTACGGGGCCCGCCCGCCCTACGGTGAGCAAGTTTGACAGAATCATGGCGCAATACCCTCCAAATCGGCTCCGAAATAACCACAAGACGGCCAAAAGAGAGGCGTAAGAGGGGGTACGGCAAGTCGCCCCCCCAGGGGGGGAAGGGTGGATTCCGGCCCGCCCTCCCCCCCCCACTCACTATTAACTACCTCGCGCCGGCAAACGACGACGACGACGACTAGGATGGGGGGGGGTTCGTAACCACCCTCCTTGTGATGGTGGCCGCAATGCCGCATGGCCTCTTGTCTTCTATAAAAAGAAGAAGCGGGATGGGGTTATGAGAGGGAGGATTGATGGGGGGGGGGATGGATGAGGAGGGCGAGGACGGACAGGGGAGGCAATTCGGGAAGCGTGGGGGGGGAGGCGGCACGATGCTGACAGAATCTGTCAGAGCAGCCTGGGGTGCTCGCCCTCGGCCTGCTCGCCACTCGGGCTGGTGCGTGGAGGTGTGGGCGCTGTCGCGGGCTTCCACCACAGGGAGAACACGGGCGCTCCTGCCCGCGACGCGCGGCGGAGGCCCCGCGAAGGCCGACGGACGGAGGGCACCGCCGGAGGCACTGACAGCGTGACTGGCGCGCCAACAGCAGAGCGCACCCAGAGAGGTGGCACCGACCTTTCGCCAATGCGCGCAGGGAAGGTCCGCGGGGCAGGCAGCGAAGAGGCCAGAAGCCGCCACAGTGGAGGCCAGTCCACAAGAAGCCTCCCACAAGAAACCCGACCCTGAGACCCCAGTTTCGGTGTGGGAACGTCACGCCCTCCATGGCAGAACCATCGAAGCCCAAGAAACCTAGGGCATCATGGAGGCAGGCCAGGTGCTTCTTGGCATGGGCCTCCACTGCACTCCTTAGAAGCTCCCCTCCCACGGAGCGCCAGAGAAGGCGCGCACACATAGCCCCGGCGGCCGACCCTTGAGGTCGTGGGCGGCGCGGAGTATTCTGGGGTGAGCCGCCCAGTGGCCTGGGCGCACGCTTGGAAGAGCGGCGGCTGAGGCCTTCGGCGCCGCGGTCGAAGGCCCTCCACGTGAGCTGGGAGGTCTCGGAGGGTGGGCGCGCGTCTGGTCGGTTGGTCGGCTTGGTGCAGCCGCAGCGGCAGCGACGCCAGACGGAGCGGCCGCTGAGGCAGCTGCGAGTGGGCCACGGCTGGGCGGCACGGAGATTTTCGATCAGCCTCCGCGGGAGGAGGCGCTCGTGCCCACCGTCGAGCTCTGGGGGGCTCGGCGTGGCTATTTATCCAGATGGCTGAGCCCGCTGCGGCGGGCTGGCTTGCAGGCGCCGCGGCTGGCGAGGCCCATCGGGTTGATCCTTGCCAGGGGCAACGGCGGCGAACGAGCGCGATGAGTGGCGGCGTGTCAGAGCTTCACGGTCGAGTCAAATTGTGCGGGTGCGAGCGCGCGGCGCGAAGTCCATTCCCCGCGGACGCGTGTACAAGCTGGTGCAAGCTAGGTGCTACTGCTTCGTACGTGACCATTATTCGGGAGCTGTTAGGACACAAAAAACAGCACATCCTGCATGCTCCCGATGCTGTGCGCGCCGTGGTGCTGCCCCTGGAGAGGGAAGGATGAGGAGCAACGGGAAGACGACCTGGCGACGCCCAGGAACCCTCGGTCCAGACATGCTGGGGAGCGGAACGAAGGAGGTCCGCCGTGGCCCCACCGATTTGGGGTGCGGGGTGCCCTTGGAACTGCCCTTGGCGGCATGTCCCGCTGGGGCCACGTCGCCCGCGACTCCGTGGCTGGCGGCGGCTGCGTCGTCACCTGCGGGGGGTTCTACGCGACCTCGGCGTCGGCCTCGGCGGCCGAGGGCGGCGCCGTTGCCGGGACCGCCGCCGTGAGCGCAGCGCCAGCAAGCGCAGCGGAGCGCGCAGCATGGCAGCACATTGAACCATGACGTTGGCGAGCCCTGGGTCGATCTGGACCCCGTGATTGGTTGTGAACCGGATTTGTGCGCGAGCTGCGTCTTGACTGTGGAGACCGCCTCGGCCAAGGACTCGGTCGTAGTTCGCTGGCGCTGGAGCTCCCCGTGCGTGAGCTTGTCGAGGTCGTGCGCGGGGTTCCGGCGCCGCGAGTCAGCGTCGAGCAGCGGCGCGGGAGAACCAGGACGAGGGAGCGATGGGGGAGTGGCGAGGGAGGGAGGGAGGGGGAGGATGAGGAGGGAGAGAAGGAGGAGGAGGTGGAGGGTGACTACGGACTGCGGAGACGAAGACGAGGACGACGGCGGCGGCGACGAGCCCGCCCGGCCTCGAACTCTTCGGCCGAGCCGCACCCGCCCGTCGCCGAGCGCGGCGGGTCGGTGACTGCCGCGGGCGGCGGGGCTGCGGCCTGCGGGGGGGGGGGGATGGGCGGAGAGCTCTGCGGCGGTCCTCGCGGCACCCCTCACGTGGCGCCCTCTCGGCCCCCCCCCCCCCTCTCTGCCCCCCTCTCTCTGTCCTTCTCTCTGCCTCTGTCTCCGTTTCTCTCTCTCTCGCTCTTCCTCCGTCTGTCCTCTCTCTCTCTCTCTTTTTCTTTCTCCCTCTGTCGCTCTCCGATTTGCTTCACCTGCGCCTGCCACTCGCCCACCTCCCTCTCCTTCCGCGTCCTCATCGTCGCTGTCCGCCTCGAGGCCCACAAAGACACCAAGATTGCCCAAAATGCCCCCCCGAGGGCCCCAAGACGGCCCCCAAACGCCTCAAGATGGCCCAGCAAAGGCACCCACGACGGTCTCCGAAGGTGTCAGAGGGGCCAGTCGCGTCCCTAAGACGGCCCAAGAGGCCCCAGGAGGCCCCCCAAGAGGTCCCAAGAGGCTCTCAACAGGGCGCCCAGGAGGCCCCCAAGACCCACCAGAAAGCCCTAACAAGGCCCCAAGAAAATTCCCCCTCCTCGTCCTCGGTGTCTCCTTCCCCTCCTCCCCCTCCTCCTTACCGCGCGGACGAAGGCGATGTCGGGATCACGGCCCTCCTCAATGTAAACCACTCGCCGAACTGCCACGGGGTATTTACTCGACCTCCCCTACCGCGCGGACGGAGACGAGGTCAAGTTCATGACTCGTTCTTAACAGACCGCTCGTCGGAATGACGCTGTTCCTCCGCTCGGCCTCCTTCCTGCAGCGCTGTTACACAGGCGCGATGGCGGGGCTTGCCGCACGCGGCTGGACAGATTGCGCCACATCGTTTCCACTACATGTATCATGTGTTCCAGAAAAAATCGGATTTGCACACCGTGATTTGATCGATCCTTCTTGGGATAATACGGTTGCCATACGATTGAAAACCCGTCGTTTGTTCTAGATACGAAACAATACCATCCCAGGAAGTGCCGTTGTCGACCCCCCTGCTCATCTCTGTCACATGATCACAATGGCGCGAGCATTTGTCAAACATCTACAATTGTCATACATTGGTTTGTCAAGAAGCGGGTCCTAGTCGACGCGCGCCCATCGTCGCGCGCGCATGCCGTGGGTTGCGCATGGGCTTCCAAACCGATTTCCCCGAACACATACAAAAAACCATGGGTTCTGTAAGACGGGTTGTAAAACATCAGAGCGTGCGCCCCCTTGCGAGTTCGTACGAGTGCCTTCGGTTCGCCAATCGTTTCGTCAAGTGCGATCCGGCGGGCTTCCCGCGCGCGCACTCCTCAATCATTCGGCCGCCCTTGTGGGCTTGCTGGGGGTGCGGGCCACTCGCGCGCGTCGGCCGCGCGCGCATGTAGACATTTTCCCAATACCTTCATCACCGACTCGTGGACACCATCATCGTGAACGGCGTGATCAGCATCGGCGCCGTCACTGGCCTTGCCGTCGTTATCGTCATCATCGTCACTTTCACCGCGATTATCCTGCTCGCGTCTGCCGTTGTTGTCGACGGCCCCAGGATACTATTACCGCGCCCGCCCGAACCACCGACTCACACTGAAGTGCCGCGCGTCAGCGCAGCCTGCGAGACGCGCTGGGAAGTCCCAAGCGGGCAGCGCCACCGCGGCCGCGTCGGTGGCGCGAGACTGGCTGGCCACTCTTCGCGCGAGAGTATGCGCGCTAGCGCGGCCGCAGCGATGCACCAGCCAGCACCAAGCAGTCATCTTGATCGCCGCCGCATTGAATTTGCAAACCAACTTGCGGGTGGATGGGTGGGATGATTGCGCGGGCAGTGGGTTGACAACTACTTGATGAACACTACTTCATTGCATCAGAGAATTTAGACCAAGTGTCTTGCACCAAGCTGATTGCCCCCCAAAACCCTACACCATCTACATGGCACCACGAACGTCGCACCACATAATTTACAACACGTTGATTGCACCACGCAGCATGCACCACCTAGGTTGCTTGACATGTGTTGCGCTGCATAGCTCACACCACATGTAAACACACCATGAATTGCCCCTCGTAGAAAGCTTGACATATATTGCGCTACATTTTGTGCTAGAACACACTGCGTGGGGATCAAGCTGGTTCGCATGCGCTTGCGTATTCCCGGTCAGCTAAAATGCAAGGCCGCTGCGGACAATCGCTTGAATGGCACGCACATCGGGCGCGGGTCTTCCAAGGGGACGCGGTAATGTTTCCAAGAGACAGACTTGCTTGGGCTTGCGAGGAGGGGGCATCTTTGATGCGTCCTTGATGCATCAAAGAGGACAGGCTTGTATGGGACGGGAGGGTGTGTTGAAACATCTTTGATGCATCCTGGGCTAACTCTGGTCCCTCCTCCTCTTCCGCCTCCGCGTCCCTCCTCCTTGCACAGGCACGGCGCCACATGTCCTCGACCCCGCCGCTGGCCACGCCGAAGCTTGGACTGCACGGTCGGCACCATGCGTTCAACATCTTGGAAAGTTGACCGGGGGGCCGCGGGCGTGCAAAGCATCCTAGCGCGAGTGTGGCAACTATGGGGACGTCGATGGAGGAGCGCGACGGCCGCATCTCCCTCGTCCTTCTCCCCCTCTACCCCCCTGCTCCTCGCCCAGGCATGCCTGTGGCCCGGCCCCCATCGCCCCCATGGTTCGCTGATAGAGCTCGGAGACGCGCTTCTTCTCCTCCGAGGCAGGAGGGACGGGGGGTAGAAGACGGAGGCGCAAGAGAAGAAGGAGGAGAACGGAAGCAGGATGTCCAGGGATAAGCTGAGGAGTCGCAGAGATGCGGCTGAAGGATCTGGATGACTAAATCTACAAAGGAGCGTCTACAGAAGGGGGGTTAGAGGAGGGAAATACCCCTGCGGAAAGCAAGTGGATGAAGAAGATCATCCCGATGGACGGGAGCGGCACGAAAACACCCCGATGGAGGGAGTAGACAATCTCGATGCCCGCTGCCCTCCCCCCTCCTCCCTCCTCCAGAGGCCTCTGGAGGAGCCCAGCAATTCCTGGAGGCCCCTGGAGGTCTCCTGAGGCGTCTGGAGGCCCAAAGACGTCCAAACGCTTGATATAGCGGCCGACAGTTGCGACATCATTTGCCATCCCGAAGGTGGCACGCGGATTGGTATGTGTTCTGCTGCAGCATAGATCGTGGATGGGCGCGAGGAGAGGGATGGTGTTTCTATGACAACTGTTCTCGCCATGGGTGGGATCTACTTGGGTAGTCCTTTTTCGTCTTTCGTTGAGGAGGCTATTGCTTTGGAGGATGTTCGTCATGTGCCAGAAGACTGGTTGAGTTAGATCCTCGCACCAAGCGCAGGAGATTTGATATATGATTTGTGTTAACCGCATTCATCTGCCAGCGCCAGAGGCGCTTTGGGCTTTGCCGAAAGAAAGCAAGATGTCCAATGTCTTCGATCCTCCTACGCCTCCACCTCCTCCTCACCCTCGTCTCTCTCTCTCTCTCTCCTCCCAGTCGGTCCTCCTCCTTTAATGCCCCCGTCTACTGGACCCCACCAGCACACCAGCAGACGCAAGCCAATAGGGCGGCGGCCCTGCGTCCTCCCATCGGTTGGCACCACTGATCAGGTGCCCTGCATGGCACGTGTGAGCAATCGCCTCACGCTCCTCCACATCCTTCTCCTCCTCCCAGCTCCCCCTCTCTGTCGCCTCCTCCCACTTCTCGCATGTGAGTCCCTCGAGCCACACACACCAATAACCTCATCGTGCTGTTTATTTCTCATCGGACCCTTGCAGAATCCCCTCAACCCCTGCGCATCATCCCCATGGTCCTCCTGGTCCCCCTCTGGATTACCTCCACCTTCCTCCTCTCGACGCGCAACGCCCGCTGGCCCGTTTCTCCCATCCAATCCCATGTCGCAACAACCGACGGAGAATGCACAAGCAGAAATCCTCTTGACACTTCAGAACTTCATTCACGAACGCTAATCCCCGCTCCCCCACCGTCGTGCAAAATGACACTGGGAAAAAACTGAAAGCTGGACTACTCGCCCTCATCATCATGCAGAATTTCTCCGACTGGATCAATCGCGAGATGTGGATGGGGTGGGGTTCGAGACCCAGAAAATGCGAACACGCCCGTCGTTACTTTTCACAGAAAGCCTGTGCGAGGTCCTCCTCCTCTCCGGACCCCCGACGTTGTGATGTTATACGACATGGACTTCTGGCGGTCTGGACCTCTTCATCAAGACAATCTTCTGACTCAGACACTTTTTGACGTAGTTTGAATACAGAACTCTCGTCCTGGTGTTTTGGCAGCCACCAAGGTATGGGCCCCCCTCCTCCTCCTCCGCCGCCGCTGCCGCCCTTCTTAGACGAGTCATGGAGTCAAAGGCCTGCTGGCGGCGCGCACGAGGGGGTGGCGCGAGGGGGCCTGGCTTCTGTGAAGGCGGGGGGATTCTTGGAAGGCACGGGGCCTTCTTTTGGACAAGCGCATTCCACAACTCGTAGGGTAGCTACTCGGAAATGGCCTGGATCCGCCGCGGGGGATCCACGATCCAGCACGTTGAGGCAACTATGTGTTGTTTTCTGGCGTTTGCGAGTGGGCACTTCGCGAGTCGTGGAACGCGCCCGGTGATTCTTGGAAGACCCAGAGGCTGAGAAGGCACCCTCTCAGGAGCCTCCGGGGTCTGCCGAGAAGACCCCCCCCTCTGAAGTCCTCTCAGAAGCCCTGCCGCCCCCTTGGAAGCCTGTCCCCCTCGCGCGCGCGCCGCCGAGCCTGAGATGTGCGCTCCTCCTCCTCCTCCTCCTCCTCCTCCTCCTCCTCCTCCTGCTCGTCTGGCGAGCACGGCTCTCCTTCTCCAGCCGGTCGCGCTCTTCCAACAGCCTCGCGTTGGCGCACATGACGCGCTCCAAGGCCGACCTTGCGGGGCTGCTGCCCCGTTCGGTGGCCTCCCGCTGCGCCCCTCCTCCTCGAATGGAGCGGAAAAGAGGGAGGACGACGAGGTTTGGACTTCAAAGGAAGGCTTTGGCTGCAACTTCTCTTTGGTCTTGTGCCCGTGCCATGTGCGATGGGGTGCTGGCGGAACTACCATCGATACACACGGAAACATAAATACGGTAGTCTGAAAAAAGATTCCGCGAGTGCCCGCTCGGCGAACACGCGCGCCCACCACATCGGATCCTCGCTAGATAACGGGGCCTGGTGGCGCCACTTCAACATCATGGACAACAAAAAGCTTTCGCGTAGAATTCTCCTCCCAAGCAACAACTAAGATTACGATCTGTTTGCAAAAAATGAGACACATATCCTGTGCGTGCCCGCGCGAAGATGGCGCGCGCCCTGCGCAGAATCCTTGACACGTGGTAATTCGGGTACGGATGTCTCAGGAGGCCATGGGAGCGCGCACCCAACGCAATTTACAAAGGATCGTGACCCTGTGCGCGCGGAGCCGCTGTATCTTACAAGGGATCGTCGTGGCCAAAACCAGCCAATCATACATATATTTAATAATATTTACACATATATACACATACATACATATATACATACATATATATATATATACATGTATATATATACATGCGCATTGACATATCTACATATATACATATATATTTATATATATATATATGTATAGGTATCGTGGGGCTGGGAGTGCCAATCCAGCGCAATGTCCAAGGGATCGTGGCTCTGGGAGCACGGGTCCAAACTAATTTGCGAGCAGTGGCCCTGGGAACACAATTTCAATGCAGTTTACATGGGTCGCGCGGACACGGCGTAACTTACAAGTGATCGTGGCGCTGGGAGTGCGGATCCAGTGTCGCTGAGAGCGCGCACCCAGTGTAGGTTACAAAGGATCTTGGCACTGGGAGCACGGAGCTGATGGTTTTGTGAGGGATCCCAGGGGGAAAGAATCCTGGGACCCCTCTCATGGGATGCCGATAGAAGGGGTTTTTGGTGAGCGGAGGGGGACTTACAGAGCATTGTGGGTCGTCCCCTGGCTCGCTCCCTGGCGCGTTTTCTAATTAGTATCTCCCTTGGCGCGTTGCTTGGCACATCTGCGGCGTGTCCCATTTCATGTCCGCTGGCACGTCCCCTGGCGCGTCCCCTGGCGTGTCCACTGCAGCGTCCCAAGGCAAGCACCCTGACGCGTCCCGTGGCACGTCCCCTGGGGCGCTGCGCGGTACGTCCCGAGTCGCGTCCCAGATCACGTCTTTTGGCGCGTTCCATGACGCGCCTTCTGGCGCGTCCGGTGGCACGTCTCATGGCGCGTCCACTGGCATATGCCTGCCACGTCGCGCGGCGCGTCCCCTGACCTGCCCCCTAGCGCGACCCCTGGCTTGTCTCCTGGCGCGTCCCTTGACACGTTCCGTGGCGCATCCTTGGCGCGACCTTTGGTAAGTTCCATGGCGTGTGTCCTGGCGTTTCCCTTGGCACGTCCACTGCTTAAACTGCTTAGCGCGGCCCGCGTCAAGTCCCCTGGCAAGTCCCCGGCACGTCCCCTGGCTCGTGCGCTGGCTTGCCCTCTGGTGTTCCTACACGTTCCGTGGCGCGTCTTCTGGCGCGTCCACTGGCAAGTCCCCTGGCTGGTCCACCGGCATGTTCTCTGGTTCGTCCCCTGGCCCGCCTCCTGACACGGCCCTTGGCACGTTCCATGGCGCGTCCCTGACGCGTCCATGCTCCGTCCCCTGACACAACCCATGGCACGTCCCCTGGCGTTTTCCCTGGGGGCATCCCCTCAGGCAGCTCGAGCTGAATGACCAGACCATTTCGATCAAGTGCGGGGCAGAGCCTCCGACAAATACTCGGCATACAGCACTCCGCGGTGTCGAAGAGCCACACTCACCTCTCAAACTTGCGATGCTCAGCGCAAGAACCGTGGAGCCCGCCGGCCTGCGTGCACGGAGGCGGAGGGGCCGACTCCGCCCGAGGTGGGGCGCAGTTGACAGAGCGCGCGCCCTCGGAGCGATCAGAAGCCTCCCCCCTTCCCGTCCTCGTCGCCCTCCTTTTCCACCTCCGCCTCCTCTCCCTGCCTCCGCCCGGGGCCATGTGAGGACCGCTGGGAGCCCAGAAACAACGAAAAGACGCGGGGGCCCGTCTCCCTCGAGGGACTCCTTCCCTCCCTCGTGGCAATCCCCCCCCTCGGCTCAAGCGTCGATCTCCACTTTGGACGCCCGAAGTGGGCACGGAAAGAATGGGTACAATGCACAACAACAAATGTTGTCCCAAATCAACAGCGGCCGCTGTTGGGCAGACGGCCTTCTGTCTCGAATGGACACAGGCCGCGGCGGCGCGGACAGCGAATCCTGCTCAGAATGAACAGGAACTGCTGTTGGGCATTGTACGCATCCTTTCCGCACCCATTTCGGGCGTCCAGATCCAGACCTCTCCGGGGGTGCGCCCTGGCCGGGACTTCGAGGCGGGTCCGGCCACGGCAGCCGGGCCCCGCCCCCACAGTACGGCGCTAGCGAAAGCGCGGCCTGCTTTAAGGCCGCGGGACGTGCCAGCCGCGAAGCGGTTGAAGCGGGCCCTCAGGAGAAGATGACGATGATGGCGGCAGCGGTGCAGCCCCCCCCATTTTGCTGCTGCGCTGGCCGCGCGCTCCTCCCGCCGGCGTTGACACGCCGGGCGGGCCCCTCCTTCCGCCGCGCGAAGCGGGCCTCGCCGCCGGTGCCGTTGGACACCGAGGCAAAGCCCAGGGTGGGTGGGCAAAAGAGGGCCC